AAAAAAAAAAAAAAAAAAAAAAAATCAGTGGTAATGTGCCATAACAAAGATTAAGCACCATTTCCCCCCTACATGGGACTGAAAGCAGGGCCTTCAGACTGAGCTATATGCTTAGCCCTTTTTTATTATGAGACAAGGCTCACTAGGTTGATAAGTTGCCCAGGCTGGACTGCAACTTGCAATCCCCCTGCTTCAGCCTCTCAGAGTGCTGGGGTACAGGCATGTGAGACCACAGCCAGTTTATGAGCACTGTGCTTTTTTCATTTAAAATATCTTAGAGGTAAACTAAGCATGGTGGTACCCAACTGTAAGCCCAGCACTCTGGGAACCTCCGGCAGGAGGATCACAAGTTTGAGCCCAGCCTGGGCAACTTAGCATCTTAGCGAGATCCTGTCTCAAAAATTTAAAAATAGGCTGGGGATATAGCTCAAGCTTGAAGGCCCTGGGTTTAATAGCCAGTACCACAAAACAAACATATTTGGGGGTCCATTTAGAGCTGCTTCTTTATAACAACTGCACTGTATTCTATTGTGCAGGTAATCATGATTTATTTAACCGATCACTTAAGGGCAGATATTTAGCTGCTTCTAATTCTTTGCTGCTGCAAGTAATGGTATACAAAATATGCTTGTGCATGTGGCTTTGTGAACGCATGCACATATCTGGAGTTGCATTTAAAATATAGCTAAATAGCCCTCCTAAGAACTGTGCTAGTTACACACCCACTGACCACTTTATAATTGCCTATTACCACATACCTTTGCCAACATAAGGAATTATCACAATTTTCAGTCTCATAACTAGTGGGTTAAAAAGGGTATCATGGTTTTAATCTCAATACATATTTTCTTTTTCTTTTAAAGCTTTCAAATTTAATGTCATGTTTAGATCAAGTTTCTCTATATTCTGAGATTACAAAATAATTAAAAAATTTCTTGCTATTTCATGGTTGAATTTTTTTGTTTGGTTTTTGAGACAGGGTCTTGCTACGTACTCCAGACTGGTCTTGAATTCACTACGTAGCCCATGCTGACCTCAAACTTGTGGCAATCCTCTTGCCTTGGCCTCCTGAGTGGTGGGATTATAGGTGTGTGCCACCACACCTGGTTTAAATTGTTTTTAATGTTTCAATCTTTGCTCCAAGCCCAGTGCAGAGCATAATTCTACCTCTGATAACCAGATTTCCTCATTCAGCCTAGGATCACTGCAGCCTCTTGATGGGTAATCTACTTCCGGTCACCTCAAACCGGAAGCATGTCCATAGTGGCTGCCTCCCTGAGGGTTCCCCTCGCCCCGTCCTGTTTGTGTGCACTCGCTTAGATTTATGAGAGAAGCAGAGGTAAAGGATTTATGGCCTGAAAATGTTCCAAAAAGCAGTGGCTCCAAAACCAAGCGAGAGCAGAGGCAAGTGGCGTCACTCACTCTTGCAGCGCCGGCCATCCTCGGCGAGAACGAAGCCCTGGGAGCACTGGCAGACATAGGAGTCGCCCTTGCTCACGCAGATGTGCTCGCAGCCGTGTGAGTTCGAGGTGCAGGCGTCCTTCCCTGAGGAGAGAGTGGGAGGTGCGCAGCCCCGTCAGCAAGGAGAGGCCGCGGAAGCGCCAGATCAAGACATACCGTCTTGATGTGGACTTGGGTTTTTTTTGAAGCAGAGTCTTGTTACGTCGCCCAGCTTGGCCTCCAACTCCGGTCAATCCTGCCTCAGCTTCCTGAGCGTGAGGATTGCAGGCTTGTGCCACTAGGCCTGGCAAAAGAAAATGAATTTTTGCCTTAACTAGAAAAGGAGCTTTCGGCCAACTGGGGCAGAGAGTCACAAAAGCAATCAAGACATTGTCAAAATCCCCAGAAAGAGGACAAACAGCCAGAATCTCCCGGTGGATAAAATGTCGCACCCCGTGCTCTTCTAGCACCCCCTCCCGAGCCAGCGTGTCCACACCGCCATGGCCAGTGTTACGTGCCACCTTGGCTAGGCTGGGGCGCCCAGGTGTTTGTTCCATCACCCGGCTAAATATTGTGCAGGTAACTTTTAGATGAGATTAACATCTAAGTAGGCTAAGCAGACTTCTCTCCATAATGTGGGCACACCTTATTCAGTTAGTTGAAGGTTGAAAGAAAAACACTTAAATTCTTTGAGAAGAGGGGATTCTCTGGGTCTCAAGACTACATTAAGGCTGGGGATTTAGCTCAGTGGTTTTGCTGCCTGCCTCGCAAACATAAGGACCCAAGTTTGACCCCCGGTACCACACACACACACACACACACACACACACAAGACTACATTGAAGAAACCCAAGTGTCACCCCCGGTACCACACACACACACACACACACACACACACACACACACACAAGACTACATTGAAGACTTCATACTTGCCAGCCCTCACCAGCCCATGAGCCAGTTCCTTACTTTCTTCACACTCTCTCTCTCTCTCCCTCTCCACACACACACAAACACACAAAGGCAAATTGTCTGTTTTTGTTTTTGTTTTTTTGAGACAGGGTCTTGCTATGCTTGAACTCACTATGTTGCCCAGGCTGGCCTTGAACTCGAGATGATCCTCCCGCCTCAGCCTTGGATTACAGAGGTGTCCACCACCTCCAGCACAACGTCTGTTTTTCTGGAGAACCCTGGCTAAAATACATTTCCTAACTAACTTCAGAGACTTTATTCTGTAGGACTTACAAAAGTAAATGACAGAGAGAGTGTTGTTTTTTTTTTTATACTGCAGATCGAACTCAGGTCCTTGTGCTTCCAAGGCAGGCAGCCACACCACTGAGCTACATCCCTGGCCACAAGAGAATGGATTTTTCCAAAACCCACAGAAATTACTCAGCCCTTCTCCTACCCTTTACACTCACTTCTAAGGTCTGCCAAGAAGGAAAAGGCCTGTAATCTTCTGACGAGTGTAGTGGCTCTAGCAAAGATTCTACCTCTATGCAATGCATGGCCACTGTGTTCAGGGCCAACAAGGGACAGGCAAAGTGACCCCCAAGACATTCCCGAGGAGCTAACATCAACCTCATCTCTAGGGAAACACTTCCAGGGTAGCCAAAGTAGGGATTTAGATCTGTGACACTGGCTAATGGTTGTGTAACGGAAGATTTTAAAGTGGGGTCTGGTGGCGCACGCCTATAATCCCAGCACTTGGGAGGCTGAGGCAGGAGGATTGCTGGGAGTTTGAGGCCAGCCTAGACTATATAGCAAGACCTTGTATCAAAGAAAAAAAGGGGCAAAAAAAGGATTTCAAAGATTAAATGAAGATCTGTAACTGCCACAGATGGACCCCACCTCCCCCAGCTCCTCACTTCTGCAGCGCTTCCCGTCCGCAGCCAACTTGAACCCCTCCAAGCACTTGCAGGTGTATGACGTGGCGCTGCTCACACACACCTGCTCACAGCCATGGGCCACGTCTTGGCAGATGTCTTTCCCTGCGGGCAGCAGAGCAGTCAGAACAACTGTACCAACTTAAATTTTACAGGCCTTGGCCTTGGAGGGCCCATTCGTCACAGCCACCGCCCTGTGCCCCTGAGCAGAAAGGTAAACTGAAGATGAAGGTTCCTGGGCAAACTCTTCAACTTTATTGCTACTGTCACCTCCATCTTACCTTTGGGAGCAGTGAAATCTAATTTGACTTTGGCTCGACATAACGTAAGACTTAAGTGAATGATTTAACCTCTTGGAATCTTAGTGTAACTGTCTGGAAAATCAGAATAATAATTCCAATTATTTCCTTCCAATAGTGTTAACCATCACTATGTAGCCCAGGCTGGCCTTGAACGCACAGCGATGCTCCTGACTCAGCCTCCCCAGTTTTAGTATCACAGATGTGAGCCACCACATCCGGCCCAAGTCGCACTTTGTGAAGAGCTTCGGGAAGCTTGAGAAGATGACTGATAGTGATGGGAGTCATCTGCCCAGGGTTACACACTCCAATCACACCAGGCTGTGCTGTGAGACTTAGGCCGGTAATGAAGTCACCATACGCCTGTCCTTGGCAGGCTTGTCATGCCCCATCTCAAAAGGCCTTACTTTCCGAAACCCAAGGGTGGCTTCTTCACCAGGTGGCCAAGGAGGGATTTGTGCACCACAAAGAACACCATCAAAAACATTATTAAAGATAGACAAATAGAGGCTCACAGAGGTTAAGCAACTTGCCCAGCTAATAACTGGAAAACTACAGGCCGACTGACTTCTGCACTTCCGGTCCCAGTTTCCTGCCACGTGGCACATAGGAGCAGCTCAGCTATTGCTGTGCATTGACTGACTGGTTTGTTTTTTGTTTTTGTTTTGTTTTGTTTTTTTGGCTCGTTCACTTTTTAATAGATTTTATGTCTTTATTCATGTAGGTGCTGGGGATTGAACCCAGGGCCTCGTGCTTACTAAGCCTGTGTTCTACAGTAAGCTGTACCCTGTCACTAGACTTTATTTTTAGGACAGCTTTAGATTTACAGAAACACTGAGAAAATTCCCATATCACCTACACCCAGATTCCCTTATTATTTTTTTTTTATTCATTTTTGAGACAGGATCTCACTACGTAGTTGAGACTGACCTGGAACTCGCTATGTAGCCCAGGCTGGTCTCGAACTCACAGCAATCCTCCTGCCTCAGCCTCCCGAGTGCTGGGATTACAGGCGTGCGCCACCATGCCCGCACAATTTCCCTTATTATTAACATCTCCATTAAGATGGTATATTTGTTATAATGAATGAACCCAAACTGATACAGCACTATTAGCTCACATCCAAAGTTTGTTTATACTCAGGTGTGTGTGTGTGTGTGTGTGTGTGTGTGTGTAGGGTACTGGGGACTGAACCCAGGACCTCACTTATGCTAGGCATACGCTCGTGCCACAGAGCAACACCCCTGGACCACATTTACTTAGTTTTACCTAGCGTCCTTTCCCCATTCCAGGAGCTCATTCGGATCCCACCTTCCTTTGCTGGTGTGGCACTGACTTTGGAGCGGACCCAAGCTCTGCAGAGCCCAGGGCGTGTGCTGACTGACACAACAGGTGCGGGTCTGCCCAAGTCAGCCACCGTCAGACTTACTCCGGCAGGTCTTGCCGTCGCGGCGGAGTGCGTACCCCTCAAAGCACCGGCACACAAATGAGTCTTCACTGCTCACACATGAGTGCTCACAGCCATGGTCCCCCGCAGAACAAGGGTCCAGTTCTGAGAATCAAATCAGGATAACAAACAAATAATAAATGATTCGCACACAAGAGACTTACTCATTCGCGAAGATGTTTCAGACACCTTAAATTAAAATGGTACCCATTCCTGCAGCACATTTTTTAGTAGAAATCATGTCTACAAGCAATCATCTCTACAAAGCACATACAAATGCAACAATATAATCATTCCTTCAGGAGAAATGAACAAAAGGTGAAAGACAGGCCGGGAGAGGTGGCGCAGGCCACAAATCCAGCATTAGGGAAGTCAAGGCAGGAGGGTCATCACCTGTGCAAGGCCAGCATAAACTACGTAGTAAGACCGTTTCCAAAAAAAGAGATGTGAAGAGACAATTTATGAAAGGAGAAATAAATGGCATAAAATACTAGACTGGTTATCATAAAATATCAACTTATCTACATATGCATGTATGTATGCATATATCACAGTAGGTATCCCATCCAGTCAGTCAACAATATTTATGTATTATTTATTTTTTGGTACTGGAGATTGAACTCAGGACCTTGCACTTGCAAGGCAGGTGCAGCACCACTGAGCTAAATCCCTGGCCCTATTTATTTATTTATTTTTGAGACAGAATCTCACTGTGTAGTTCAGGCTGGCCTTTAACTCGCTATGTAGCTCTTGTTGGCCCTCATCGGATTCTCCTGCGTCAGCCTCCTGATGCCGGTATTATGAACATGCACCACCATACCTTGCTCCAAATGTGACTACATGGAAAAAGCAGACTAACTATGTCACTGTATGATAATACATCCCATGTTTTTGTTTTTGTTTTTGTTTTTCCCAACTATACATCATCCCTACATTCTAAAGTAAGCTTCCAAGCACAGGGAATTTGCCTGTCTTTCTTTGGGCAGAAGCACTGCTCATAGGGGCCAGGGATTTAGCTCAGCGGTTCGGTGGCCTGCCTTGCAAGCACAAGGACCCGAGTTCAATCCCTGTACAAAAAAAAAAAAGAAGCACTGCCCAAATCTTCCAACAAGGAGCATGTGCTGGTAGCTAACTGCAGAAGACAGCCAGCCTGAGCTGCACCCTGGGTTTGCTGCGCACACGACCTACTCTCTGGGCACATGCTGGACTCATTTAATGAGGAGCATTTCCCAATGGCTCGGCAGTTCCTCATGTAGTGGAAAACACAGCCACGTGATCCAGAACACAGCCGGCCCCGGCAGGCGTGAATTTGCTCTACTCCATCATCCAGGGTGGTGGAACAGCTGTAGCTCTGTAAGGCCGGGCCTGCCAAGCCATGGTGTGAAGGATGCCAGTGAGGGCGTTTCCTTCCCGGAGCCTCCCCCGCCTCCCCAGCTCGGCCCTCCCTGTAGGCTTGGGTTTTACTCCTGAGCCTCCCGCTCCCCAAGCCCCAGGCTGGAGAAGGACCCCGTGTGAGGCGGGTCTGCTTCCCACCAGCTGGCACCAGGGTGATGCTGCAAGCCCAAAGGGTGTAGCTTGGGGGCCGCAGGCTCCTCATCCTCTGGGCCTCAGCCTCACTGATTCTCACTGTTTTCCCCTCCTCGTCTCCTCAGGACATGTGATCAGAGGGCAGTAAAAGTGGGTGAGCTCTCAGGCTCAGGCACCAGGCACAGGACTCCAAGGCAAGCCCAGGAGGGTGCCTGGCCCTGTGGAAGGGGACCTGGCCTCGCACACAAATGGCCCTCTCACCGGCAGCTTCCTGGCTGCAGTCTCCCCCACAGATGCCCTGGAGCCTGTGAAGGGACACTTTCATGCTGGTCACCCAAGCGCCACGTGTAACAGGGAAAAATTCGAACAACCCAGGTGTCCAGCAGCAGAGTTGCCGAACAGTCCATGCATAGTTGTAAAGAGAAAAAGGGTATGAAAAGATCTCCAGGAAATACTATTGTGTTTAAAAAGAAGCATAGAATAGGTATGTAGCATATCATTTTTATGACATAAGAAAGTTGAGGAAATAAAAAAATATATATATTTCTATTTGCTTTTATTCACATAAAGAAGCACTGAAAGGCTTAATAAACTAATTAAGAGGTGGAGAAATTACACCGCAAAATTAGCAGCTTTTTTTCTTTTCTTTTTGTTACTGGGGATGGAACTTGGGACCTTACGCTTTCGAGGCAAACCACTGAGGCAGAACCACTGAGCTAAAAATCCCCAGCCCTGCAGCAATTTTTTCTTTTTGTTTTTTGAAACAGGGTCTTGGTATGTAGTTGAGGCTGGCCTTGAACTCACTGTACAGCCAGTGCTGGCCTTGCCCTTGCTGCGATCCTCTTGCCTCAGCTTTCTGAGTGCTGGAATTATAGGCCTGCACCACCACGCCCAGCATGTTTATAGTCCCAGCATTCCGGTTCAGGCAGGAGGATCTCAAATTGGAGTCTAGCCTGGGAAACTTTGCAAGATCCTATCTCAAAATAAAAAGGAAGGACCGGGGCTTTAGCTCATTGGTTCCGGCGCCTGCCTCGCAAGCACAAGGACCTGAGTTCGATCTCCAGCACCAAAAAATAAATACATAAAAAGGAAAAAGGGCTGAGGATGCAGCTTAGTATGAAGGCCCCAGGTTTGATTCCCAGTACCAGGAAAAAAAAAATCCTTATGGGAAACAAAGGGCTTACAGTTAAAAGTAAGCCTCTTACCTCTGACATCCAACACTGCTGCCATTACTTTCTAGTTGCGGGAACCCAATACCCACACCCACAACTCCAGAGAGGGAAGGTTTATTTGGTTCACAGTCTGCAGAAGTTTCAGTCCATAGTTGGCCGGCTCCAAGACAGGGCAGCGCGGCAGAGACCTGGCAAGAAGCTGCTCCTGGCTCAGCAGCCAGGAGCTAAGAGGTCAAGGGAGGAGGGAGGAGACGGCCGTTCCAGGCCACACCCCCAGTGACCACCTCCGCCAACCAGGCTCCTCCTCCCAACACCGCATTTAGCTGGAAACTCTCAGTGGACCAATCTAGTGATGAGTCTCACACCCCCATGACTCAGTCACCTCCCAACAGCCACACTTACGAGCGCATGAGGCTTTGGCGGACATCCAGATAGAAACCATAGCAGCCATCATTTTAAAGGCTGCACAGTAATTCACAACTAGTCTCGTGCTTGATGGGCACTTAAGCTTTGTTATGGTTTATCTAGATGTCCCCCTCAAGCCTCGTGTACTCACAGTGGGGCTTTAGAAAGGTGACTGAATTAGGGGCCCTGCAGCTGACTTGCTGTTAGGAAGTGGTGCCTGGTTGAGGTGGATCATGGGGGGCTCCCCCTCCCTCCCAGCTCCTCCCTTCCGCGGCTTCCTGACCACCATGAAGTGAGCAGCTCTCTTCCACCAGACCCTTCCACCATACCTTCCTTCCCGCCTTGGAGCCGGTCAACCATGGACTGCAGACTTGAGCCAAAATAAACTTCTGATCCTTTAAGTTGTGGTGTCGGGTACTGCGTCCCACTGACTAGGATTCTTTCAGTCTCTACCCCCACCAACCGTGTCAGACAGTCTCAGTCACGGTTTCTGATCTGGGGCCCTGGCTGGGTGCCTGGGCATTTGGATTTTCTAAAGCCCCACATTTAATTCCACTGAACACAGGGGTGAGATGTTGGCAGTGGACCCAGACCTCATATTCACAGACTGTCATGTTTTAGATCTTAAATGTCCCCAAAAGCTCATGTGTTGAAGGCTTGGTGCTCAGCTCCTGGGAGGTGGAGGAAACCAGGATTGAGGTCACCTGGAGGAAGCAGGTCAACAGGGACAAGCCCTTGAAGGGCTTATTGGGGCCCGGCCCATTCCTCTCTTTCTCTTGCTTCCGGCCACCATGACGCCTGCAGCTTTGTTCTGCCACACTCTCCCACCATGATGTGTAGCCACGCACAGGCCCCAAAACAACACACCAAGCAACCATGGACTGAAACCCCTGGAAACGGTGAGCTGAAAGAAACATAAAAGTTTCCTCCTTTAAGATGTTTACTTCAGGCGTTTTGACACAGTGAAGGAGAGCTGACTAACACAGAGACCTTCCCAGGTGCTCCAGGTATTCTGCCTCTGACATCATGAACCAGGCACCTCATCTTTCTCAGGGGTTGCTGCATGGACCGGAACCCAGGCTCCGCATCCTACACAGTGCCTGCTTTCTGCCTGGTGGGGATGTGCCGGGTCACTTCCACATTCAAAGAATCACATGGCAAATGAGACGATGCCACGGGTGCCCTGGGATACCTTCCTGACTGCTGGCTCTAGTGCTTTCCACCTACCATGTCTGGAAACCAAGCTGGAGTCAGCTTCTCCCCAGGGCCAAAGATACTCCCCTAAAGGAAAGGGCTTCAGCGGTTTCCTGGCAGGTGATGATGGCCACTGTCCCTGACTCACTGCACAGGGGTGTCCAGCCTGGGGGGTGATAGGTAACACCCCAAGAAGGCTGCACTCAGGCAGCAAGGGCTACAGTGCACTTACCCTGTGTCAAGTACAGTCCCATTTGGGGGCTAGAAAATACCTTGCAGATGCGCTGGTCCCACCTGTTTTAGAAATGCGGAAACTGATATTCAGGGAGGAAAAGTGAGTTTCTCAAGGTCCCTGAGTGACCCGCAGACAGGGCTCATCTTAGCTGTTCTGGGCAGAGGCGTGAACCTGTCACCCCCATGTTTCTTGGTCTGGCTGCGCCCCCACTGGCCACCCTGGCTCATCACATCTGCCTGGACAGCGCGGCAGGCACCCAGAGACAGACTCAAAGCTTGGTGGGGTTAGGGCCTGCCTTGCAAGTGGAAGGTCCTGAGTTCATTTCCTGGTACCACAAAAAAAGCTTTGCTGGGGTGGGAGTGGCGGTGGTCTCCGGAAGGTGTGCTGTCACTTTCAGTGAGTGGGTCACATGTCCCTCCTATTTCCCCAAGCTCCCTCCTGCTGCCTATACTCAGGATTCAGGACTCAGAAGGCCCAACTCCCCGTGGAGTGGGCTCCAGGGATCCCCAGCGCCTAGCACGCTGACGTGCCCAGTAAACATTTGCAGAGAATAAGCAGGAACAAGCCCAGAG